CAGTATCAAAGGTCATCTAAGTCTGGCTTCCTCATATTACGAAGGAAAAACTGAGGCCCAGAGTGGTAAAGCAGCAGGCTGTTCCCACAAGAGGTGGAGGGAGCAGCCCATCACCTCACTTCTCCGTCTCTTTCAACTAAACTACAGTGCTTCTGCAAACAAGGCAATGATTTAGCCGGAAAAGGGAAGATTTAGAGGGATAGGAGATGAAGAGCATGTTCTTATCAGGAAAGGGTTTTTTTTGGGTTTTGTTCTTTGTAACAAGAGATGGCAGATCTAGAAAGAAATTACAGGGAAGCAAATTTCAGTCCAATAAAAGAACTTAAAAATTAAGGATGCCCGAAAGGTGAAACAGGGAGCAGATTTCCAACTGAAGCGAAAGCTGAAATGGAAATCTTTGAGGAAGCTGTTCTCAAGATTCTGCACTGAACGAGCACTTGGCATAGAGGCCTTCTCAATTCCTTTCCAACTCTTTAAAGGGTCTATACATTTTTTTATTTGTGGGAATGGGAGAATATGAAATCATTGAATTTCGTTAAATCTGCTCAGGTAGAGAATAAGGGAGACCTCACACTTGCTAATGTCTTAGGTTTATATAAATACATAATTATTTTATAATGAATTTCTACTTTCAGCTGATTTTTGCTATGTCAGGTGCTTTGGAAAGCACATCCCCAGAAAGGTCTCTTAGTGATTACAATGTCCCAGCGTTGGTGGCAAAGCAGAATTCCCTTCCAGAAGTTCTCAAGTCACATGATTTTTTGTACCATTTCTTTCTTTTCAAAAAATGGCTGGGCTACACCATTGGCTATTAGGCATATGAACAGATGTCCCCGGAGTCGGGGGAGGGGAGAGGCGCAGGTAGTTTAATCCTGGTAAGGACTCAATTTCAGTACCTGTTCACAGGCCAGGACAAGAAGGAAGATGAAATCCAAATATGGTTTAACCAGTCTTTCCTACTAAGAGGTAAACATTTTTTAACCTCTTTCTCACTTCTCACCTAGTGCCCCAGCCCATACCCACAAAAATTTCTCCTGTGTAAAACCAATCCACACTAAAATGACCAGTGTGGCCTGGCTAAGAGTTGGGTGTGAGACCACCATGCTGTAGCACCTCAGAGAGTATAACTACCTCTCTGTTCTGCATAGAAGGACTGAGACTCCAGATGTCGGGGAATAGCCTCCCTAACCGAAATGAATCTGCCAAAGGATGACAAGAGATTTCTGCAAGGAGAATCTGCAGGTGAAAAGGGCCATCTTACTAGCAGTTCCTCAGCTTCTTCCCAGAGATTCATCTTACCCTCAGAGTTGTCTCATTCTGAGGACTTCTGCTATCACAACTGGCCCAGATGAGCTCTGCCCCATTTTACAACTATAGCCTAAGAACAGCCAAACCTAAACCACTTCCCTGGTTCCCCATAAACAGCTAAAAAAAGGCTGGAATTTTTCTTAATTATAAAACAAGAGAGAGGGACGCCTGAGTGGCTCAGTCGGTTAAGCGACTGCTTTCAGCTCAGGTCATGATCCCAGGGTCCTGGGATCGAGTCCCACATCAGGCTCCCTGCTCAGCAGGGGATTCTGTTTCTCCCCCTCCCCCCTGCTCATGCTCTCTCTCTCACTCTGTCTCTTTCAAATAAATAAAATCTTAAAGAAAAAAAAAACAAGAGAGTCTAGGAAAGAATGGGTAAGGGAGAGGGACCACTGACAACCCTACCCCCACAACACAACCAATCCATCATTCCTATTTACTTCTAACTGTTATCTGTAAGCATTACAGTGATTTTCAAGAAATCAAGAGGAAATTTTCTTAAAAATAGAAAATACACTAATACACCCTAAGAAAATGCAGCCTTACAAGTAGAACCTTCATTCCATACCAGTTAACTCCCTAGACACTCAAGCCCTATTTCCTTACATGGGCTGAAAAGGGGGAAGTGTTACATTAAAGTTATATTTGCTCACTCTACATATGGTAACTTCTTTATCCCAGCAATCCTTTAAAAGCATATACTATTGTTTAACTTGAATTTAAATGAAATCTTGGAAGAAAAAAAAAGTACATACTATGGGGGCTCCTGGCTGGCTCAGTCGGTAGAACACACAACTCTTAATCTCAGGGTCATGAGTTCAAGCCCCACGTTGGGCATGGAGCCTACTTCATTTAAAAAAAAAAAAAAAAGTACAAATTAGTATCTGTTTTCAGGGGAAACTAAGGCTCTCAGAGACTAAAGAAACCCAAGATAACAAACAGCTAGAAAATAATGGAACAAGATTCAAATTCTAATACTAATCCTTGTGATCATAAAACCTATGCTTAAAGTCAAAAGACAAATCATAGACTGGGGGAAAATATCTATAACGCCTATGACAAAGGGTTAAGGTTCCTAACAAGCAAGGATACCAACAAAATAGATTTCATAAAGACAAGCAGAAACATAATTTTTTTTAAAAAAAGGGAGATAATACATTCAGGCATTCACTGAAGAAGAAATGCAAGTACCCGAGAAAAATTTGAAAAGATGCCGAACTTTACTGTGAGTCAGGGAAAGGCAAATTAAAGTCATCAAATACTATTCCTTACCTATCATCTTGGCAAAAATTTAAGAGTGATGACAATCCATTCCAGTTACAAGGAAAGGGCCAGTTTCTTACATTGCTGGTGGAAGTATAAATTGCTACAATCTTTTCCAGAAGTAACCTGATACAGTATCAGTGAAAATTTAAAATATACATTCTGGGGGATGCCTGGATGGCTCAGTCAGTTAAGCATCTGACCGGCTCAGGTTATGATCTCAGGGTCCTGGGATTGAGCCCCAAGTCAGCACTCAGCAGGGAGTCTGCTTGTCCCTCTGCCCCTCCCCCTGCTCATGCTCTCTCTCTCTCAAATGAATAAATAAAACTTTAAAAATAAAAATAAAACACACATTATGCTTATTGGAATCTAGCATCAAAAAACAAAAAGCACTGACATACACATTTGAAGATATTTATTATAGCATTGCTCATGTTGAAACAACAGAAACTGCTCATCAATAGTTCCTATTTGAATAAATTAAAATATAGCTGTATTTTTGTAACAAAATTTGAGAACAGTAAAATAATTTTCCAAATCAAGTAAATCCCTTAATCATTCTTTTGTCTCTTTTTCCTTATAGACTATTTTTAATATATTTACATTTTGCAGAAATAGTACTACATATCATGTTAATAAGTTACTAATCAATAGCCTATGAAAATGCCTCATTAAAATTCCATGTGATAATCTGACAAATTGTAAGTGTTTTTCAGAAGAAGTGTATATCAATTTTTGGCAACTTTAAAAAGATGTAAAAGGTAATTTGGTCTTAAAATCATGGTATATAAATTCATTGGCAAAAAATTTTTAATTTTTTTAATACATGAATACAAAGAAAAAAATCTACAAATTTCATTCTTCTCCATTGATAAGACCATATTTTGTTTTAATCTGCAAGGAATACTAGCCAAAATAATTCTACTTTTAAAAAATATATATATACCACTCAGAGTTAATTTCCAGGAAAAAAAAAGAAGAAAAAAAAGCTTGAGGGATGTACACAAACACAAAAGAAGAGCAAGAAAGCTAGAGTAAAGGTATATAATTTTTTTTAAAGTCTCTTTCTCTTTTTTTTTTAAAAGATTTATTTATTTGAGAGAGAGAGAATGAGAGATAGAGAGCACGAGAGGGAAGAGGGTCAGAGGGAGAAGCAGACTCCCTGCCAAGCAGGAAGCCCGAAGTGGGACTCGATCCCAGGACTCCAGGATCATGACCTGAGCTGAAGGCAGTCGCTTAACCAACTGAGCCACCCAGGCGCCCTAAAGGTATATAATTTTAACATCATGTTTCTGTTCTCCAGTATCCCTGTGTATCCTAGACTGTTTCTTCCGCACTTGGCTGGTTATATAGGCACTAAATAAGACCCTGTTGAGATGCTCAAGCTGCTGGTTCCCTAGTTTCCCCAAAGTCCTCATAAAGGCACATGAGATATAAAATCATGAATTTTCCCATGAGTCCCCATAAAACAATGTTATCTGCCCCTTCGCCAATGTTCCAGTGCACTCTATGCTTCTTTTTTTTTTTAAGATTTTATTTATTTATTTGACAGAGAGAGGGAACACAAGCAGGGGGAGTGGGAGAGGGAGAAGCAGGCTTCCCGGCCAGCAGGGAGCCCGATGCGGGGCTCGATCCCAGGACCCTGGGATCATGACCTGAGCCAAAGGCAGACGCCCAACGACTGAGCCACTCAGGCACCCCGCACTCTATACTTCTTATGACACTTAGTTCAAAACACTGAAGGAGGTGAACTTTGATATCTGTGTATGTTATATCCCCCACCAGACTGTAAACTCCTAGGCAGCAGAGTATGTAGTTCAGAGTCATACCCCAAGTTTTGGGGACACCTGAGAATTCAGCCAGTCCAACCACCCATGTAAAAGCTGAGGGCTCTACAATACTTCATCAAGCAGAAGAGTGTGTGACGGGGGTACTACCCCCACCCCAGAGCAGCTTGTTCCTTCTTGGGAAAAGTGTAGCTCCTAGTAAAACTCTCCTATAAATGGAATTAAGATATTTTTCTGAAATTTTAAAATTTAACCCCTCTCTTATCCCTACGGTCACAGGACAGATTGTGAAATAGTAGAACCTTCATATTTTTCCTTCAATCTCCTAACTCAGTGCTTTGCACACAAGAAAAAGGAAGGAAGGAAGGAAGGAAGGAAGGAAGGAAGGAAGGAAGGAAGGAAGAAAGAGAAGAAAGAAAGAAAGAAAGAAAGAAAGAAAGAAAGAAAGAAAAGAAAGAAAGAAAGAAAGAAAGAAAGAGAAAGAAAGAAAGAAATGGGAAGGGAAGGAAAGGGAAAGAAAGAAAAGGAGTGAAATGAAATTGATAAACAACCTTCTTCCATCACTCATCAACGTAACAGGGTAGGGCATGGTAGTATATTCTCTAAAGATATTTTATTGGTTTTATAATATGCCTTTCACTTCACTATCTGATTTTAAGAAGAAATTGTCAGGAATACAATAATGAGAATTCAGAAATTTGCAACATATATACATTCTTCTACCACAAAAGCTTTCTTACCCCTTTAAGTTGTTCTCATCCCCACTGCCAACAGTCAGTTTCTTTAACGCTATTGGGATGACCCAAGTGGGCAAAGCTGGGCTGGGACAAGCTGCTTGGTTCTGCCAGAAACAGTCCATTCCCAAGGGGAAATTTCTTCTCACCTCCAGGATCCCCTGGGCTTTCTGGGCTGACTCAGGACTTCATATGCAGCCTGAATCTCCAGGAAATGCCTCTGAGCCTCCTCGGTTCGGTGCCGGTTGTGGTCAGGGTGCCAGATCTTCACTAGCTGCCGGTATCTTTGATGTATTTCTTCATTTGTTGCTCCCTCTGAGAGACTCAAAACCTTAGGGAAACAGAAGCTGACAAATTAGAATTCCATAAATTTCAGAGCACCTGGGCCTCTCCTGCTTGCTTGCTAAAGGAGGCTGTGCTGTCTCTGGAGTTGGCTTCTACTTGTCTGAGAGAAAGACCAAGAGCCTCAGATTAGAATTCCAGCCTTTGGAAACATGGGCTAGCCTGGATCTCATGGCAAGAATGAAGATTTGCCTTGAATCACAGCTGCCCATTTTCTAACCTGGGGCTTCACATCCCTGACAAGATCTCTTCCTTGCAAGAGAAATAAACATATATATCCACCAAAGACATGTACAGGAATGTTCACAGCAACTTGATCAGAATGGTCCCAAACTGGAACTAACCCAAATGTTCATTAACAGTAGAGTGGACAGATAATGTGTAGTATATTCATACAATGGGATACTATACAACAATGGAAACAATTTATAATTGTAACAGTATTTATTCATACTGCATGCAACAGTATGAATAAATCTCACAAACATAATGTTGAATGAAAGAAGTCGGACGCTCAGTCATTAACCGTCTGCCTTTGGCTCAGGTCATGATCCCAGGGTCCTGGGATCGAGCCCCGCATCGGGCTCCCTGCTTGGCAGGAGGCCTGCTTCTCCCTCTCCCACTCCCCCTGCTTGTGTTCCCTCTCTCACTGTGTCTCTCTCTGTCAAATAAATAAATAAATCTTTAAAAAAAAATTAATTAAAAAAATAAATAAATGAAAGAAGTAGGACATGGGGTGTCTAGCTGGCTCAGTTGGTAGAGCATGTGACTCTTGATCTCAGGGTTGTGAGTTCAAGTCCCATGTTAGGAATGGAGACTACTTTTAAAAAAATAAATATAAATAAAATATAAAATATAAATAAATTAATTTTAAAAAGAAAGAAGTCAGACATAAAAGAGTACATACTGAATGATTCCATTTATCTGAAGTTCAAGAATGGGCAAAACTAATCTATGGTAACAGAAGTCAGAACGGAGGTTCCCTCTGAGGGATGCAAGGGAACCTTCTTAGTGCTGGATATATCCTATACTTTGATTTGAGTGGTGGTTACATAGATGTATACATAAAACTTATACACTTTATATGTATCTCAATAAAAAGTAAACAACATATATGTATCCTCTTCCCACTCACTAGTAGAGCCTCTGTACCTTCACCCATTGCACACAGAAGCCCAAAGAAATCAGGACACTCTTCTAGGGCCCAACCCAGCAGACATGAAAACAGTACTTCCAGGTAAGGGGGCATTATTTCCAATAAAGCTTAGCTTAACTCCCAGAGCTGTCCCAGCCAGGAATGAGAGAGAACAAAGCCTTACCTGGTAAGCCCGCTGACGCTTCTCTTCCTGAAAACTGCTAACAAACTCATAGAGCTTCTCCCACTCCCGGAAGTAGCCGCTGCTGAAGCCAGGATCCCCCACCAGCAGCCTCCAGACCCGGTAAGGCAGAAGGAGGAAAGACTCCGTGAGGGGGCCAAGGAGGGGGAAGAAGCTGAACCAACTCAAGAAGGAGCCAAGGGTTTCTGCCACATAGCTGAGGGTGGCAGCTGTGTTGCAAAAGGCGCTGTAGGCTAGTGGGCCTGTGAAAGCCAGGTAAGCCAAGCCCAGACGATAGAGCCGAACACTGAGCGTCTCTGACCCAACTGAAGCTTTATAGCGGCGATGCTTCTGGGCTGTAATGCTGGCAGCCAAGCTAATGGGCAGGATGGCTATGGGGCGGCCGTAGAAAAGAGGGGAAGTAAGAAATGCTGCCCCAAGAGTATTCTTAAAGTCTGAGGTCTGGTTGCCAACAGCAGCCACCAGCAAGACCCCTAAGCCAACTGCCAGTGGGAGGCCCACAATATAGAAGTTGGCCATGAAAGAAAGGCTAATGAGAGCCACCAGGCCAAAATAGATGCCCACTATCATCTGGGCGACAAAGCGAATAAGACTCAGAGGGGGTGTCCTCCCTCCGGAGCTCTGCCTCTGCCCCTCGGTTCTGTTGGCCTGAGCTACAAAGCTTGGGAGCTTCCAGAATTCCCAGAGCCAGCCCAGCCCACCCCCCCCCAGGGTAAGCATCCAGAGCAGTGCATGACTGTCCCGCCCAAGGTACAGGTGGTGAAGCCCAGCAGGGCCCCCTACAGCCCAGAGGGCATAGGTCACCAAGAGCCCCTTGGCCATCCTCTAGGAAATGGGTGTCAGATCAAGTTCAGTGGCACCTGACATTGCCCAGAATGCAGAAATCTGGAGTCATCTGTGAGAATCATGGCTGTTATGGTCCCAGAGTTATCCTTAGACCCTAAGAGATGGAAAAAAGCAGTGGTAAGACTATGTCCGGGTCCCAATCCAGCAAACCATTTCTCCTTCCAATAATAATCAAGTGCAGATCTTCCTGAGTGTCCCTGAAATGCAGATTCTCCCATACCCTTTGGTCTGGCACCTCATTTCTGTTTTTTTACAAGCATAGCAACTCCAAATTTAGGAGAGAAAAATGTTTTTAAATACTTTCAATTGATGTAGAACTCAGCACACGCACAGAAAAGCAGCAGCTTAAGTTTCAGACTACTGATTCCTGGAATGACTTACAGGGGGAGTGGAGTGAACAGTAGTGAACAGAATGCCCTTCTAAAGTTCCTACACATTTTGAAAGTCCCCTGCCCCTCCCAACACTCCTCAAGTTCACCCTATGGCTGCCCTCAGACACATGGCCAAGGTTTCAGCCCCTCTCCAGCCTTCCCATCTCTCCAAGCCACGCAATCTTCCCACAAGTCACACTTGAAAGAGGGTCCTGAGGTCCCTCCACTTAAACAGCTCTGGAAAACTAACATTTTGACCTAGACCCTGGCACCCCGCAAAGGCGGACTTGGGAGTCTCTACAAAGAGGCCTGATGAACACCCAGAACACCAAACCAGATGCCAACGTGTGTCTGCCAGTGTCTCCCCGCTACGTAGAGTGGGCCTCAAGACCACCAGCCAGTTACCCGCTAGTCCCAGGGTGGGCGGCCGTACCTGCGTACTCCGGCTCCCAGACCCCGTCAGACCAGTCATTTCCTTTGACCAGAAAGTCAAAATGGCCCCTCTCACTCCACTCCCACTTGCATCCAAATGGACTTTGTCTTTCTGTGTTTGCTGTGTCACGGAAGTGGGGCCGTCCGGATCAGGCCCCTCCCTAAGCACCCCCCGCCCCTCCCCGGCCTCTTCGGGATCACCTTTCAGCCTCGGGCTCCTCTCGCCCGCCCTTTCGGGAAAACTCGGTGTAAGGCTTTCAGGGCGCATCCAGCCTCCCCCCGCTCAAAGGGGCTGGCGCAGCGCCCCACTCCGGGCCCAGCGCGCCTGCACTGCGGCACCGCCGCCACCAGGTGGCGCTGCCGCTTACGGAAGGGCGGGGCGGGGCGGGTCTCCAGACTCACCTTGTCCAGTTGCCCGGGCAAAGCAGCCCAGAGCGGTTCCCCACAAACGCAGAAAAAGGCCTTTGGTCGCCCCTTTCCACCGTACAGACGAGAGGGTGACTTGTCCCTCACCTCAGGGTGTGCTCTCTTCCTACTCCGTTGTCTTTCAAGACTGCCTTGGATGGCTCCACTTCCAATTCTTCCAAGGCTGACTCACCCATGGAGAGTCCCAGAGAGGACCTCCAGCCCCCGAGTTTGCCTCATCTGCCCCACCTCCAGGCATGCCAGTCAGGGGGATTACATCGAGACCTGAGCCTGAGACGTGAGGGGCCTCCAGATCTAGCGGGAGCCCAAGTCCGCTGTATCCTGAGGTCTACCGGCAAGAGGCCGAATCAGTAGCAAAAAGGGATATGGGGTGAGGGGCGTCCCATCGGGAGAGCAGAGCGAGAGCGAGAGCGAGGCCGCAGCACCAGAGCAGTCTGCCTTCCTCCCACCTCGATGCTGGGAAGGAGCTGGGATGCAAGATGCCTTCGCTTCAGTGCCCTGGGCTCCAATCCTCGTTCTGCTACATGACCTTGGCCAAGTCACGCCGCTTCTGGGGCCTGTTTCCTCCTCTGTAGAGGAAATGCTTGGATCTCCAAGGTCCCCCAGCCTTGACTTGGGGGTGGGGTGGGCCTGGTGGCCCCCACGCCGGTCTCCTCCGCGTAGCGGACGGAGTGCTTCTTTTCCTCCACAGCGCCAGCCCCTCAGCCCTTATCCCGGCCCGGGGAGGGAAGGCGGCTCGCCTAAGGCGCCTGAGGGCTCACGGAGGGGCCAAGGCTGGGAGGGGCCCCAAAGCGACGCTGGAGCCTCCAGCTGGGGGGCGGGGGCGGACAGGGCGCTGAATAATGAATGAGACTTAATTGGGTCCGCTCTGCCAGGCGGCGCGCTAGGCTCGGCAAACAGCTCCGGCGGCGGCGGCCGCCGCTGGACAAACAAACTCGCTCCCGGCGCTGGAAGTGGGGTGGGGGAGGCAGCGGCGGAACGGGGAGGGAACGGGTACACCGCCTGGCCCCTGGGCCGCCGCGCGCCGCCAGCTTCGAGGGCGGAGGAACCCAGGGCTGCTGGGCTGCGATGGCCTCCCAGAGAGTGGTGGTCGGGGAGGGGGCTCAGGGTTCGATCCCTGGAAGCGAGGGCTGGGCGGGGAGAGAAGCGGATTGTGCGGTCGGAGCCAGGGGCCCAAGGGCGACAGGAGTGCGCGGAAAAGATGGAGAAACGAGTGGAGGGCGGAGGAGAGAGGGAGAAGCGAGGGAAGGAAAAGCGCACCGGGGGAGGGGCTGTCGGGGTGGGGGCGGGAGAAGAGCAGTTACCGAGAGGAAAGGGAAGACTGATGGAGGAACAAGCGAAGGGAGGCGCGAGGGGCCGGGAAAAGAAGAATTGGAGAAGAGTCAAGGAGAGGGATGGGAGGTGACCTGAATGAGAACGAGAGGGCGGCGGGGCCGGCAGGAGGCGCCCCTGCCTCCGCCTCGCCGCGCCGCGCTCCCGCCCTAGCGCTCTCTCCAGCCGCCCGCACTCACTTTGTCACAATTACGGGGCCGTCACTCGGCCCGGATTGTTTTCCCCAAATTGTTGTTCTATAAACTGGCGCGGGGTGGGAAGTGGGGGGATCTGACAAGCTGAAGCGGGAGGGGAGGGTCTGAACCGCGGTGGCGGAGTATCTACCCACAAGCCGACCGGGGCCGGCAGGTGAATCCAGAGATCCAGGCGGGAACTCTGGTCGGTGCCCCAGCCTCGCTGCAGGTCCCGCTTTTTTAACCTTCCTGGCCCTTCTCAGCCTCGGCTGCCTTGGTTTCCCCAACAGAGGACTGTGAGGATTGGAGGGCAGGGGCCGCCGCGGCGGTTGTAATGTGGGGCCCAAACTTCCCCGCTCGCCCATTCTCTTTTGTTCTTGATACCGCGGCCACAGCGGGAGGGGGTCTATCCCAGCTCAGCCGTCCCCAGAGCGCCCCTCGGATGCCTGCTCACTCCCGCTGGATGGCCAGACTCCCACCCCCCACAGGTCTAGGCCACCCCTTGCCCCGCCCGCGCCCTCCAGCCGCTCGGTGCCCCCACGCCCCCTTGTCCCTCAATTGCGCAAACATCTGTTGCGCGCCCACTGTGAGCCAGAGCCGCGCCAGCCTTCCTCCCCCCGCACCTCTCCCCCGCCACCCGCCCCTGCCGGCCAGCCCGGCCTGTCGGCTTCGTGACAGCCGCCGCCGAAGCCCAGGCCCCGCGGGAGCGGCCTGAGAGGAGCCGCCGCATGGCTGGCTCCGACACCGGCCTCCCCGGCGGCTCCAGGGGCAACGGAGGGTGGCGGCCGCTGAAGCGAGACCGGAGCCGGCCCGCAGAGTTGGCAGAGCTGGGCCGGGGAGGGGGGAGAACCCCTGCGCGGGCCTGTCTCGCAGTCTGAGGCCTGTCGGTCTCCTCATTGCATTGCCCTAGGGTCGGCCCGGCCGGGAGACCGCCGGGCTCCGCGCGCCTGGGACCCGGTTGGCTCCCGTGCCCCCTCCCCCGGTCCGGGTGATTTACACGCGGGCTCGGCGCAGCGGCCGCTTCCCAATCAGGAATATCGACCCCGGGCGGAGCCCCCCGGGGCCGCATCGATCCCTCTAAGGCTCGGGATTTAAAAATGTCAAATTTGCCTTTTCCAGGCGGGCGGAGGGGCGGGGGGGCGGGGGGGGGGGGGGGGGGGGGGGGGATGGAGGAGGGCGGCTGCGGGGGTGGGGGCGGACAGCGGGGCATCGACCAGGTGCCTGCTCCCTGAATGAGAAGCGACCAGGTCATGGCCATCCTTGGGTTGCAGTCGCCTCTGTATGGGGGCAGGAAGGAAGCCCTGCTTCCTTTCCCATTGCCATGGGCCTCACCGTTGCATTGGCATATTCCCAAACGGAGAAGCCACAGAGGCATCCCCCAAAATGTAGGGAGACAAATTTGGAGGAGATCCCTAACCATGGGCACAAGGAGAGGTACTGAGAGGAAGTTATAGAGGCTCTTCCTAGCTATGAGGAAGAGCAAGGCAAAGGGAAGGTGGCTGAAAGACACACTGAACAAAACGGGAGACCAGAGATCCAGAATCACCCCCCAACTCTGCCCTATAGACCCAGGAGATTCAGGACTGGGAAAGAAGTCAGGTTTAACCTTTTGGTGTGTTTGAGAGTGGGGGAGGACAAAGCCAGGTGAAGAAAGAGTTATTAGAGAGAGGAATCGGACTAGAATTAGCATTATTCTCCCAAGGTTTCAACTAGTAGCTGGACCTGAGATCCAAAAGATAAGGGTCCCGGGGGCCACTAGCCCAGGTTCCAAAGAGGTCTGGTGGTCTGACCCCTGACTGAGATCCACGTCCTCCCCTCTGACCACCACCAGCCTGGGGAACTAAGATGTGTTGGAGAACACATCCTGTATGTGATGAAGACTGTGTATATGTAGGGGTGTGGACTATAGAAAACTCTAGTAACCACTTCCTGCCCCAGGACTCAGCAACTGGGTCTCCAGGCTTTGGAAAAAGCATCCATTACTTTCAGGAAGGTTGGGGAAGGGGTGATGTCTGGGGTGGACTTGATGGAAAGGAGCACCTGTCCACACCAGCATCCTCACAGTTAACATCTATCCCCCCCCCCCACTCCCAGCAGAATACCTCAGCTGTCACTGTGCACCCTGCCATTTCCTACAGAACTGGAGCGAGCTGACAGCAAGTAGTGTGTCTGTGGGGTGGGGGCAGCGCAGACGCGAAAGAAGAGGTTGCGGCTGATGCTTAGACACACACAATGCACACCACCACTGACAAAATCGGGTCGACCCATTCCTAAAACTGACCCACACTGTCACTGACGTCCACGTATGACTCACACGCATCAATCCCTGTCACACACACCACCTCTGTGTGCGCAGACATGCACAATTCCTCCCAGGTCAGGCTGAAGCGCCCAGTCCTAAGGCCTGTCTACACACTTTCTTAGACCTTAAATCGCCTAACCCAAGGAGAGGGCTTAGGTTCCCGCCCCCACTCCCCAAATTCTACAACCAGAGCCAACTCCAACGGCTGAGAGGCCGAGCTCAAGGAAATCAAGTACGGGGGTCGAGGCGAAGAATCGGGAGCTGACCGGTCGGTGGGGCTATTAAACGCCTCCCTTAACTCTCCCTCCTGCCACTGGCCTCTTTCCGGGCACGTCCACTCGCTGCTCGTCCGGCCCGCCGTCAGCCTGTCAGTGGAGTAATGAATGCGCGCTCCGGGCCCCGGGCCCCCCCGGAGTCGTTCATCACTGCCAGCCACCGCCCACCTCTCTGCAGCCCGCCGGGAGGGCTAAGCGGCCCAGGCGGCGAGAGCCCCTCTCCCCCCACCTCGACCACTAATTGTCAGATTGAGATGTTGATTTGTCAGCTGGGAGCTAGCGCCAAAGAATCCGCAGTAAAACCTGGACTCCTTGAACTTCCTCTCGGCTGCGTGCGGGTTCGCCCAGCCCCGGAGCTTTTCTGGATTTGATGTGGACGGGTTGGATTTCACTTAGAGATGGGCAATAGGAGCGCAGTATCACTCTATTCCGATAGGAGGCGCACCAGGCTACAGACCCTCAGTTTCCCTAGGAAAGCTCGTCTTGGGCGCAGTTCCACTTGTACAGACCGGAGGCCCTTAGGGCTTCGTCCCCCAGTCTCCCAGCAGGGGGCGCCTGGCCCACCACCTTCTTCTCTTC